TTTATTTCATTTTATTAAAGAAAACATTTCATTTTGAATTTCATTAATTAAAAAAAAATATAGATAAACAAAAAAATGTATAGACATACAAAACAGTATATATAACATTGTCTGCTTTTAATTCTTTTGTATGAAAACAGAAAAAAAGGCAGTTGTAGCTAGTAAATTAAAATGCACTTGTTATAAAAACAAAAGAATTTGAGATCTAAAATACTTGAGAAATTGTACATAAGTTTTAAATTTTATTGGTTGATGAATAACACCAATCTTCCGAAAAATATTTATTTATTTTATTTATTTATTTATTTATTTGAACAATGCAGTACAACAAGAATGCTGGTCTTATTTAAAAGTACTGGTTAGATATAGGCAGAATAGATTTTATAAAGAAAATTGTACATTTAAGTTCTGTGAAGATACATTTTGTGTAGGCAGTTTAAATTGTTGTCATTTTACATATTACATTAATATTTTAAATTTAGCAAAATTAGATTTAAGCTACGTTCAGACCTATCAAACATTTGATGAAAAAAACGTAAACACTAATTTTTGTAATTTTTTTTTTTTATTCTGCATGATTTTTGTAATTGCAAATATTGTCGAAACAAATAATAAAGACGTTCTGAACTGATGTCGTCAAAGATATATTATGTTTGTGCAAATAAATATATATTTTAAGGAAATCGAAATGTAGATTTTTTAGGGGTCACGTCATTTTCGTCAAACATTTGATAGGTGTGAAGGTAGCTTTAATCTATGTTAATTATGTTTGTTAGGAGAAGTATGTTTTTATTGCGCATTTAAACTGATTTGCATTGCTTAGTAACTGTATATTATGAGGGAGTTGGTTCCATAAGCGAATATAATTAATATAGAAATGTCGCTCAGATATTAGTTTGTAGTATCGTATAGAGTTAATTTTGTTTCCTCTATTTGACACTGACAGTTGTAACCTTTCGTATAAATAATTAGGTTGTTTTGTGTATATAAGTTTGTGCAATAGAATAAGTGCACGGGATTTTATGAAGTTTTCGAATGAAATGTTATAAATCTGCTTTGATAGGTGTGAGATAAGGCTATATCTATTGCATCTATATACATATTTTGCAATGTTGTTATATGTTGTATTGAGCTTTTTCTTGCTTGTAGAGTCTAGACCTACAAACAGTTCATATCCATAATGAGCGCGGGTAATAAATATGTTTTTGCTAGAAGCATACGTATATTAAGTGGTGTAAAATATTGAGTCTTCCATAGGTTTCTCATCATGGCATACGTTCTACCACAAACTACATTAATATGATCAACCCAGTTAAGTTTTTCATTAAATATGACTCCGAGGTTTTTGGCATGCTTTACAACTTCAATAGTTGAATTCCCAATGATAAATGGTGACAGTGAGGATGGCAATGTATTTTCTTTACCAATTATAATAGCTTTAGATTTGTTTGCATTTAGGCATAGACCATTAGCTGAGGCCCATTTGTAAACATTATCTAGATCGTGATTCAGTTTATTTATGCAGTTATTTATATCATCTTGTCGGCAACTAATATAAAGTTGTACGTCATCTGCATACATATGTATTTCAGAATGTTTTATATAAGAGGGTAGATCATTTGAGTATATCGTGTATAATAATGGTCCCAAAATCGATCCTTGTGGAACACCTCTTGATATTGAGCAGCTGTTGGATTTATTATGACCATGATGAACTGCTTGGGTTCTATTACTTAGGTATGAAAATATTAGTTTTGTAGAAGTTGACGAAAAGTTAAATATATTCTTTAGTTTATGGCAAAGAATATAATGATCAACAGTATCGAAGGCTTTTGAATGATCAAGCAATACTAAAAAGGATATCATATTTTTATCAATTTTTGATCTTAAATCCTCAGTGACATCAATTAATGCTGTAATGCAGCTGTGTTTAGGTCTGAATCCAGATTGCCTGTTAGTTATTAGTACATTTTCTTGTAAATACTGAGTTATCTGCTCATGGATTAAACGCTCAAATACCTTTGACAAATATGGAAGTATTGCAATAGGTCTATAACTTTTATCAGGTTTTGGAATTGGAATTATCTTTGCATGTTTCCACATTGAAGGAAATTCAGATGTAGTAATTATAGTATTAAACAGATGCGTTACGTATCGTATTATATGTGGTAGAATAATTTTAATAAATTTAGGATTAACTTCATCTGATCCGATTGAGTCAGATTTAATACTCATAAGAGATTTATAAACATCCTCTGCGGTAATGTTTGCGAATTCAAAACAATGAGAATTTTGGTGGTTGGCATTATTTGTGAAATTATAAAAGTTTACATTGGAGTTAGGCAATGGTATGTTATAAAAATAAAGCGTTTAATTGGTTAACATCGATGTTGTTATCAGCTTCAACGTTATTATTAATAACACCCATGTCTTTAATTTCTTTCCATTTACTTTTCGAAGTTACAGCTGATTTAAATTTTTCCTCGAAAAAATTCGATTTTGCTATTCTAATCTTATAATTCACTTTTCTTCTGCAGCTTTTGAATAGTTGTTCAAGTTCTGTAGTTTTGAATCTTTTCCAGCGCCCATATGCTATGTTTCTCTCATTAATTAATTTTTTGATTTCAGTTGAGAACCAAGGTTTTTCCCTAGGACGTATATTTTTTGTTTTGATTAAGACATGATTTTGATACAAGTTTTGAATGTTGTTATATAAAAAAGTAGCTTGCTCATCTACAGTTGGCATATAAAAGATGTGATCCCACGGTGTGTTAATAAGATCACCTTCCAATTGACGTAAATCGATATTATTAAAATCTCTAAATGTTATTTTTTGTTCTTCAGAAGTTATCTTAAAATCATATGATAGTAAAATCAGGTCATGTCTTGAGAAGAGTGATGCGGACAACTGGTCAAACAAGAGAATTTTTGACATATTTTCAATAAAAAAAAGGTCAAGCAGAGTACTTGAAGTGGGAGTAAAATGTGTAGGTGTTATTTGGTTTATAAGGTATAAACCAATGGCATTCATTTCATTCATCAGATTTTTATCTAGCAGAATATTAGCGTTAAAATCTCCTGTTAGAACAACATCAGTAAATCCAAGTGTAAGAGAGGATAGATGATTTATCAAGGGTTCTATATCAACTCTCTTATGAGGTCTATAAACTGTGCCAAGTAACATTTTTCTGTCATTGTTATATATTTCTAGGAATATGTATTCAATTTTCAAGGTGCTATTTTCAGTATTCTTACACTTAAGTTTACAGCATATTGGTAGTCTAACATATATTGCTACTCCACCACCACGAGATAATCTATCCGAGCGAAATATGCGATATCCATTTAGTTTATAGAAGCTATCGTGAATATTAGTATGAAACCAGGTTTCCGAAACGCAAATAATATCGATTTTAGAATTTTCAAAGATGTAACGAAATTCATCTATTTTATTGTTATGACTTTATTAATGTGACAAACGTTTAGCCCCGAAGTTTGTTTGCAGAGTATCCTGATTAGGTTATAAAGGTTTTCACTGGAACCAGCTCCACTACGAGTATTAGAGAGAGGCATCAAATGTTTTTATACAATTTGTAGAAGCAATGCAAATTAAAGTTACGTTCTTACATGTATAAACATAAAAGAATATTTTTGTAAACAAATTTAAATAATAATATAAGGTATTAAATGTTTTATAATAAATGAAATAAGATATTAAACAAAAAGAAATTGATAAATATTTAATATTAGCTGTTGAAGCATTAAGAGTAATCTTGGGGAAAATTATTTTGCTGTGTAGTATCATGGCATGTAGGAGTGGTTTCATTATTTGTGTTGGATATGATTTCGGTTTCATTATCAAAGTTGGGAACTCGAAACATCTGTCCCAATATTTTGAAATCGTTAATACACTTCGGGTCATCATCCCCAGGTTGTTTAATATAAACTAGACCCCGGTTTGTAAACGCTGATGTAATGATTCCTTGTTTTTTCAAGCGGTGTGCCTGTACAAAGATCCGGTGATTTTCAGGTGTGAGATTTTCATTTACAAAAAACGGAACGGTACTATCAAATCCTATTAAATTCAAACGTAAAACATCTTTCGTAGTTTTAATATGCGAGGTGATAGATTTAAGAACAAAGTTACGTTCATAAGGAGATTTGAATTTAATAATAATTGGAGCATCTGAGTTTGCTCTTTTATTTTCCAAGTTATGATTCAGACTTCCAAAGGTCCTCTTAATCTTGACTCTAAATATTGCCTTAATACCTGGAGGACAAATATTTACTATTTGACATATTTTTAAGTACATGTCAAAGAGATTCTCGTTATTATGTTCGGGGATACCATTTATGCGGATATCATAAGCAACTATTGAATTATCATGTTTCCTAGCACAATCTTTCAAGTATGATATCTCTCTTTTCAATTCCTCAGTCTCATTTGTGAGTTCAACAATTTTATCAGTTGCGGTGTTTTTTATTTCATGAACAAGACTTTCCAATGATTCAACTCTTTCCGTTATATTATTCAAATCATTCCTAGTTAGGTTAAGTCTTTTATCAATTTCATTTAATAATCGATCCTCGCACTCGTGAAACAAATTTTGTATCATTAATTGTAACTGATCAGTTAATTTATCAAATCTTTTATCCATGATTTGTACAAATTTGAGTGGTGATTCAGTATTCGATAAGCGACAAGATTTAGGTGTACTTTCGACAAATGAAGTTTGCATTACTTCTCTAAGTCTTTTTTGTGTAGGAGGATTTACAATTTCCATAGTTGTTTTGTTTTTATGTTTATTTTTAGTTAACGGCTAAAAGATCATATGCCTTCCAAACTGTTTTTAAATCCGAAAAAACTTGGCACCACTTTTTTATTTATTTGTCTTTAACCAGTATTCGTATGAATAGAACAGCTGGTGATGTTTATGTTTACAATTAAAAAAAAAAAAAAAAAAACTTTGATTATAAATAGTAGTGTCTCGTTTATTTAATTTGAGTGGTTTTGTTAAATATTGAAGTGTTATTATATTATATAATTATTCGCCTTAAGAATATTTTAGTTATCTTTTTTATTAAAAAGTCCGCACAAGAATATGTTTTTTTTAATTTAGTATAACTTCACGATCAAATAAACACTATAGTATTTATTTCGAAAGTTGTTTATTGATTTTAGTGAGATTTTCTGTGTTTCTTTTTATTGTTTTTATGGAGCCGATTTAAAAGACGTCCGTCTTATAACTTGATAACTATCAAGTTATATTTATTTAATTGCAGAGAACAGAAAATTACAAATGTCTTCAATTTAAGCGCTAAATCTATGTAAAATATAAATAATTAAAATAACCACTTTTCTTCAAATTCTCTATTTCAATTTTTCTATTTTTAGTTGATGTTCTTCTCTCCTTTGTGAAATATTTAGTTCTAAACGCTTTATTTTTCTTTCTCGTTTAAGCATTTTTGGCTTCTGAGATTCATAAGATACAGCTTAATTACAATTGGAATCGATGTCGACAAACCACAAAGAAAGAGCGAGCGACGAATTAAAATTAAGCGACATACCACATTTTCTGGCGCTAATTAGAAAAAATCAAAGCAAAATGATGTTTTTGTTTAAAATTAGAATTATTTTTCAGAATAAATAGAAATGGTTAAAAAATTCTTCAGAATAAAATAAAAGAAACAATATGTTTTCGCATTTTAATTTTTATTATTTTCATTTAATATCTTCTGTTAATAATAAACAAATGGTGAAAAATGCGCATTATAACAATCCTGTTTTTTGCAATTTTGCAAGATTTTTAGCAAAATATTATGAACATATGGCAACTCTACAACATGGAAATGAGAGAAAAATGAGAGGATCGCCACAGAGCGCAATAAAAATAACTGCCGGTCAGCGTTGCCAGAAAATGAATTTCAAAATATGCTAAAACTTGAAAAACTAAGTGCTAAAATGTTCTACGGAAGAAAAAAAAGTGCTAAAATTTTTTAATCTAACAAAACAATATAAATGTTCGTTTTTTTCTAGTTTTTATTAAAATACTGATGATGTAGTGCATGACTCCAATATTTCTGGTACTATATCTTCATCGTAATCCTCATTTTGATATTTTTCAAATGATAGTATTTTATTTGTAATATAATTTTTTATATATTCATAAACAACATTTTATTTTGTAAAAGATTTTTAATAAGGCCTTCAGTGTAACAGCATGCATTTTCGAATTTCAATTCTTTTCGAATTTCAATTCTTTTCGAATTTGTATTATTGAACATAAAAATTCAGCTTAAATACGATATCGAATTTTATTTTAATTATAGCCTTTGATATAAAAAGCCTTTCAAGTTCGGTATTAGAAAAAGGTGAAACGAGTAATGACAATACAAAAATAGACAACTCATTAAATTAATTTTCACCGATAAAATTTTCAAAATTATATACTTGAATTTAAAAATCCATTGTATCAGATTTTTGTCATAATGTTGTTTTGTAATATCCAACAACTGATTTTCAATAATATTTTTATCAGTTAAACTATACTTAATTTTTTATAAAAAACATATTTTTGAATTTTTTTTATCAAGCACATTATGCTAAAAAGCATTTTAAAAACTTCAATGCATTTTCACGATGCAAAATGCTAAATCTAGCACTGAAAGTGCTAAAATGGCAACACTGCTGCCGGTCCACACTAGGAAACTTTTTTTGGGAAACTTTTGATTTTGCGTGAGAGAGAAAGAATATCATTCATCTCTCTCGCGGTACGGAGTTTCTCGTACTCGGAAACTTGTTTTGTTTTGTTATTCTTCTTATTCGTACAACAACAAATCAATGCAATTAATACGTAATTTCTGAAACAAAAGTTTCTATGTGTGGACATTAAGGCAACTTCAAAAGAGAATTAAGAAAAAGTTTCTCAACAAAAGTTTCCTAGTGTGGACCAGGTCTATGCTCTGCTTACAATTTATGTATTTGACAATATTGTGTTATATTGCGCCATCTATGTTTCATCAAAAAATTAAATGTACGCTTATAGACACATAGACACTTTTTATTGGTTTAATTTTATTCATAGTGAGATGTTGTAGTTTGTCTCAGCAATATTCAATGATGATGTTTTTATATATTTATATTTATCTTCAACACAGAAATACCACTTTTAGCTGAGAGGACACCAAAGTGCGACACGAGTCATGCGACACGAGTTTGTTGGCAAATGGGGTAAAGAAGAAAGGGGAGTAGCAAAAGATGCACGAATCGTAATTTGAGGGGTTTTTTGTATATCTTTTGTTAAGCGTTCGTATTTTTGGCAGTTGCTTTATTTTTATTCTGCACTCAAAGAGTGAAGATCGTATGCGATCACTCGAATGCATGATTCAGTGTTGCCACTTGCAATATTTTGAATTTTATTTACATTACATTTATTCCAAAAATAATAAATATTTTAAATATTTGCTTGTTAAATTTTAGTTATTTTTATAAAAAATATAAATAAATAAATAACTATAAAAATAACAATATTTCTCAGCTAAGCTTATATGTTAATAATCAATTGGTCGTTATTTCACCAAATTTGTATAAAATATTAAAGTATATTTGTTAAACATATTTAACACAACATTTAATTAACAAATATTTAAAAAATAAACATATATATTATTAAACAAAATAATAGAAACAACATTTAAGAATCAAATATGGCAACACTAACAATAAAATGTTGCACGCCTTTTGAGTCTCCATAGACCTGGTCCACACTAGGAAACTTTCGTTAAGAGACTGTTTCTTACTTTTCTTTTGAAGTTTTCTTAATGTCCACACATAGAAACTTTTGTTTCAGAAACTACGTATTAATTGCATTGATTTGTTGTTGTACGAATGAGAAGAACAACAAAACAAAACAAGTTTCCGAGTACGAGAAACTCCGTACCGCGAGAGAGATGAATGATATTCTTTCTCTTTCTCTCTCACGCAAAATCAAAAGTTTCCCAAAAAAGTTTCCTAGTGTGGACCGGCAGATATAAACGTTCATTATTTTACGAAGGGCATTTAAAAAAGAATGGAGAAAAAACCCTGCGACATGTCCCCTCAGCTAAAATTGCTCAAAAACTCACTTGACTTTATTAACTTTACACAACACTGTTTTACCATAGACTGATTTGGTTTCTTGCCGGTGCTATTTATACAAATTCATCATCTTCTAGAAATTTGCAGGATATTCTAGCGACACCATCCGGATACTTCTGACACACATTTTCTGGGATATTTAGTGGAGACACACACTTCTACAATGATCGACTTTACGTTTTAGTGTTGCTAAACAAATGTTAGTCATTAAGAACTCTCAGTTAAAAACTGTTTGGTTCAAATCCAAATACAATTTCGTAACAATATTATAGAAACAAAAAATAAAAACAAAAACAATTAAAAAACAAAATCAATGTCAGTGACAAAACTAAAAGATTTAATTAAATCAGAGTAAAAACAATTGCGGAACTTAGGGAAGGGTATATAAATAATGAACCTAATTCTTTTTGTAGCTTTTTGAATAAATTTCAAAAATATTCAGCAACTTTATTATTTTCATTTACATCATATTTAAAGTATAAAAAAGTAATAAGGGTATTATGAAAAAATGGCTATTTGTCTTATTTAGAAGAATTTGGTTTAAACTTGTAAGTTCAATTAGGCGATCAACTGTATCCATGTTGTGAAAGTAAAATCCAATACAATTTGTGACAAATTCAAATTTTGCGAGACTTTTGAACGTTTATATGAAAACCCTTAGTATTTGTCTATTTTTTATTATATAGTAAACCATACTATAACAATATCATGTTCAACAATTTGGATGACGAATCACTGAAAAAAAAACAAATAAAAATTTAAAACGGATAACAATTTTTTAAACAAGTATTTTTTTACCATATAACTTGAGCGATCTGCAGCATTTTGTTTTTTATTTGCAATCCTGGAACCAAATTGTATTGCTCTCTTTTTCAAAAATGCAGAACTTTTTAAGCCAATATAATACCCATATAGTCTTAAAAATAATTTATCGCCAATTCCATCCTCCAACAAAAAGCAACATCTTTGGTTTGGACTTAAAGAACGTACAAAATTTACAACATGTTCTTCAATAAAAGGTGCTCTTGGCGTTTTTCCATTATCAGATATTACACGATCATCTCTTGCCAAATTACGTGACGGAATTCTATTCCAATCTTTTTCTAATTCACTGAGAAGATTCAATTGCTTTTCCTCTTCTGTCCCATTATGACGAATGTAAGCATTTTTATGTCGTACATAACCACCAAATAACTCATCAGCGCCACTTCCTAATATTACAACCTATAGAAAGAGAAAAAACTTTTAATTAACAAATAAAAATAAATTAAAATAGTCACCTGAAATGCAAAAAGGTATAACAACAAAAAAATTAAAATCGACTTCTTGTTTGATAATGTTCTACTGCATAAAAATACATACTGTCGCAAATTTTTATAACTTTACTGTTACCGATTTTATTGACATGAAATTCAAAAGGCCGTAACAACAAATTAGTCATTTCCACAAGTCAGAATTTTCTAAAAAGCAAGATAACAGACAATAGCTGGCGGTACATTTATTGATTTATTTCATTTTATTTAGGTTTTTGTCTCTCCTATACAATTTATAATAGTGTTGTTACGTACTTTGGCATTTCAGGTGAATGTAGTTTTTGAAAACGAATTTCGAATTTTTGAACTTTGGAGCTAAATTGTTCCCAAGTGCCTTAAAGGGCTAATCTACCTTTTTTCACTCTATTTTAAATATCGGACTATATACAATAAAATTCCGGTCATTTTTGGTAAAGATGGCAGACAAATAAATATTATTTCGATATGGTACACTAAGAATTCTAATATATTGCAAAATTTTACCTTTGAACTCCACAGTTTATAGGTTAAGAATGTCCGATTTTAATAAAACTTCGGATATATATTTTATATTATCTGGACTATAATATTCTGATAATACTTTATGTAAAATGTGTAACAGTTAAGAATTAATACGTATTCTTTAAAATATTACAAAAAAATGCGATTTTCCCGAAATCTGCCGAGTTCTAATCGCAGGTACAGCTAAACTGTAAGAAATATTGATCTAATTTTTTTACCGTTATCTTTTTTTTAGCCTTATCTATTGACCATAAATCCCGGCTGTTGAAAAAATCAACCTTTTTTGACCATAGCTGAGAACGAGTTCCCGTTATCTTATAAGGGCAAAAACTAACATTCGAGTAATTCTAGATATATTTTAAGTAACAAAATGTTTTTTAGAATATATCCCAAAAAAAAGTAAATTTTTTTGTCACATTTCGAATTTATGTGCTGTGAGACACGTCCATGGCCAAGGGAATTTGCTATAACTTTTAAAGTTTTCAAGCAATTTTTGTGTTTTATATCTTTCCGAAGTGCTTACTATGTGCACATTACGATTCCTTTACAATATAGTTCAAAATTTATTACTAAATGGCCAAATTTATGCAAAAACTCAAAAAAATCGATATTTTCCCCTTGTAAATGCACTTGGAAACTTCAGAGCCGTTGCAGCACCTGTTAACGTTATCCTATCAGCCTAATTTTTCGTATGACATAGTTTTATAATCCATAGAACAATTCTAGTGGGGACGGCCTAATAATTTTTCTGAAGACCCCCAGATATTATCGGGATCCAAATCATCAATAATTCTGTCAGACATGCTTTCGAGAATTAAAAATCAGCAAAATTCGTTTAGAAATAACGGATATATGATTAAAAATGCAAGACAACCTCTGAATATTTCATCAAAAAAAGAAAATGTTCGAGCAAAGAATAAACAAGAAGTGAAACGCTGTCATTTTTTTACAACAATAACATTACGCTCTTCTCACAGACGAGTGCTGTGTAAATCCAACACATATGTAAAAATGTTATTCTCTCTCCAAACTTCAAAACTTTTTCGCGAAAATTTGAGGATAATAGCACTTTGAAATATTTTTTTATCACTTAACATTATATTTTATAATTTTTTTGCACAATTTAAACACATTTAACAGCCCGAAAATTATATATTTTTTACAAACGAGAAAAAATATTTTTTATTTTTTGACATTGAATTTTTGTTGTTTGAAATTAAAACTAAAAAAAAACAATGTTGTAAATTTTCGTATGGTAAACGAAAAAGATATTTCAAATAAATAATTTATTTTTTCAATATTATAGATTAAAAAACAAATAGACGTGTTTATAAAATGTTTATAGATAAAATATGTGCAAAATATCTTAAGAAACCTTTCAAAGTATAAATTGAAATGTAATAATTTTTTTTCAATATTTTTCAATACTATTTTTTGCAACTATGTTGACTTGAGAATTCTACTAATACATTCTTAGAGTTAGGTACCGGATGACAGTAGACTTAGGTACTTTTGACAACAGTTTCATTTCTTATTTATTCTTTGTGTTCGAGCATGATTTGAAAAAAAAAAAATATTTAATGAGCAGAGGGATTTCAGTTGCTGTAATACAAACTACCTCTCTCCTATAGGTTTTAATGAGGAAACTCCGAACTTTCATTTGAATATTACATCGCTTTTAAAAAAAAAGTACTCCGGGTACTCATAGAGGATATTTGAAGAATTCTATGTTTACTTTTATTTTATATTTGTATTTATTTTAATTTAGATTTAAGTTTATTTTAAAAGTTATCCTCTTTAAAAATGTTAGCATCGGGAGCAAGAGCATATTCACTTTATTTATACCTAAATTATTGTAAAAACATTATTATGAATTAATAAAATAATAAAAAAGGCTCCATAAATATTAACTTAACTTAAATTGTGAAGTATTAGAAAATCGATTAGAAAATATGTGATGAAGAATTTTTCGATTCTGAAATTTCGGAAAATTCTCCAATTACAATTACAGATGAAGAAGAAATTCAAGACCAACAGGTGTTAAGAAGATCTTCAAGGGTAACAAAGGGTCAACTTCCAGAAAGATATAGGCCAAATATAGTAACAGATTTTACGTAGCCTAAATCATATAATGAGTTATTGTAAAGGAGTGATAAGGAACTATGGTTAAAAACAGTGAAGGAAGAATTTGATTTATTACAAGCGAATAATAGATGGATTTTAGAAAATATTCCAACTGACCGTAACCCAATTAGTTGTAAGTGGGTTTATAAATTAAAACAAAATGCAGATGGTGTTATAACAATGTATAAATCTAGACTATTTGCTCAGGGTGTTTAATCAAAAATATGGTTTTTGCGCCAGTCGTATCGTTTATTTTTAACAATTGCTGAAGAATATAAACTAACGGTTAAGCAGTATGACGTTAAAACAGCATTCCTGTATGGTAATATCAAGGAAGAAATCTATATGAAACAAGCAAGGAAAATGGTGTAAGCTACAGAAAAGTGTTTATGGGTTAAAACAAGCAGCTAGATGTTTGAATGAAAAGTTAATTCAAATTTTTATGAATAATGGTTTTCAAAGAAGTTTGACGGATTTCTGCATATTAAAAGTAAATAAAGATAACAACTGGATTTTTATTTTAATATATAATATATATAGATGAAATTGCGCCAGACCTTTGAAAAAGCTAATCATGGAGAAGTCAATTTTTACTTAGGAACAAAATGGAGAAGTGGAATGATGGATATTTTAGTATTAATTAAGAAAATTATTAAAGATGGAGTAGAAGAAAAATCTGTTTAAATGCCAATGAATACGGGATATATTAAGGAAGAAGGTAATAGTGATTATTTTGCAAACAGCGAAAATTATCACCATTTAATTGGAGGTTTATTGTCAGTATCAATTTTGAGCAGAAAAGTGAGTAAATGCCGAAACACACTACACAAGCAGCTTGACAAACATACTTTCCACAGACACTACAGAAACATTGCTCGTACAAACACCGATTATTTTACGTTTTTGTGGACTTGCAAAGATACAGATCAGAGATTGACAATGAGTATGTATGAAACAAGTAATACAACTAATTACTCAGAATTTTTTAATACAAAGTAAGTCCATACAAGTTGCATACTTTCATTTTCATGTACGTATTCGCAACGAAATATCATTATGCTCATATAAAACATGTATGCTGTTATTCACAATATTTTTTTTTCACTTCTGTTCGATATTATTTTGTTGTTTAATAATAAAATATTTTATATTACATAAATTATTTAAATATATTAAGCTGCGCCAATATTAAAAACAAATGATTTCTTTGACTCACAAAGAACAACAGCTACAACTGTATAAGCCGAATACATTTCCTCTAAAAAAAGTGGACCTGTTCAACAATTAAAAAATTATACAACAATTGAATAAAAAAAAGTGCATTGATGTAATTGGTGATATGAAATAAAAATCGTCAACGTTCTGTTTATTATTTTAATATTCTGTGAGGATATATGCCGATAAAAGCGCTTTTGTTTCAATTATTCAGGTTTTTGTTTATTCGGTTTATTCGACATTTGAGGTTTTATGTTAGCCGGTTAATAATCGGATACTTCAAAACTATTCGGTTAATTAAATCGGAATTAAAGGAAACGGAATGTTTTAATTACTTTTATTGTTTTTTTTTAAATATTTATCTTCCCATAACAAAAAAATTCTAATATTCCACTTCTTCGATTTAAAATTTTTGGACGATATTTTAATTAAGTTTGTTTTTTTTTTTTGAAAAACTTTAGAAAATGTTTTCATGTGAAATTCTAAATTTTTCCATGATTGCTGTTCAAGAATCTGAAGTGTTTATAGGTATGTTTAATAACTAAAAGTTGTTATTAATTGTTACTTATTTTCATAAAAATACTAGCTATACCCAGTGTGCTTTGCTACCCTAAAAGGAATATGTATAAATAAATACCAGATTTATTATATGTTACATATAAAAGATGTCAAGCAAATTATTGCAAGTTCGCCAGTTTCTATCTATCGCCAATTTCTATCTATCTACAAAAAATTTTAATAATATAAGAGTTTCCAAGATGCACGAAATTTTGTATTTAATTCATATATGTGGTGCCAAGCCCCCCATTGAAAGTCCGCCCGTTATTCTCTAAATGTTCACATGAATGTCAAAGTTCTTCATGTAAAATTTTAAGATTCTAGCTCTAATAGTTTCTCAGATATACGAATTTAATTCATGTGGGGGCTTCAAGCCCCCCGGATGAAAGTCCGCCCTTTTTCCTCCAAAATATTCAGATGATTATTAAAATAATTTGTTCAAAATTTGAAGAATCTAGTTCTATTAGTTTCCCAGTTAAACGAAATTTTGTATTTAATTCATATGGGAGGTACCAAGTAACCCATTGGAAGTCCGCCCGTTATATTCTAAATGTTCAGGTGAATGTCAAAGTTCTTCAAGTAAAATTTAATGATTCTAGCTCTAATTGTTTCTCAGATATACGAATTTTTCTATTTTATTCATATGGGGGCTCCAAGCCCCCCAGATGAAAGTCCGCTCTTTTTTCCTTAAAAATGTTCAGATGAATATTAAAGTTCTTCGTGCAAAATTTTAAGAATTTAGTTCTATTAGTTTCCCAGATAAACGAATTTTTGTTTTTAATTAATATGGGAGGTGCCGCTCCCCTCATGGGTAGTCCGCCAATTTTTTACCCAAAATGTTTATATGGATGTTAAAGTTCTTTGTGCAAAATTTTAAGAATTTAGTTCTATTAGTTTCCCAGATAAACGAATTTTTGTATTTAATTAATATGGGAGGTGCCGCTCCCCTCATGGGTAGTCCGCCAATTTATTACCCAAAATGTTTATATGGATGTTAAAGTTCTTCGTGCTAAATTTTAAGAATTTAGTTCTATTAGTTTCCCAGATAAACGAATTTTTGTATTTAATTTATATGGGAGGTACCACGCCCCCTAATGCTAGTCCGCCTACTTTTTGTCCTAAATGATCATATTGACACTAAAGTGGCTCCGACAAAATTTGAGGACTCTAACTGTTATATTATCTAAAATATACGGATTTTATATTTTCTTAATGTGGGCGTGGCTCATCGCCCACTTGAAATTTCGAAATAAAAAGTAGCCTATTACCTATTCCAGACATGCAGGAATATGCTGTGAAAATTTCAAGAAAATCGGTTCAGCCGTTTAGTAGTCTATAACGTTCAAACATACAAACATACAAACAAACACACATTCATTTTTATATATATAGATTTGAAATTTGTATTGAAATACAAAAACAATTTGTGATAATTTGTAAGAATCCATTCCAGAAGTATATTGGTGTTCAAGAGTCTGAAGTGTTTATGTATGAATCCATTCCAGAAGTACATAGTTAAATCGGAAGATATTCTTAAAACAAATTTTTAAATCGACAAAAATTTATAGATAATCCGATTAACGGTTAATCGTTTAAGAGCCAATCTTTAGGTGAAAGATTAGCGATTAAATTAAAATTAATCCTCGAAAGAAGTTTTTGAATACTGAATTAGTTAATTTTGTTTGCAAGTTTAAGCGCCTAATGGAGGTGGTTTAATCTTAAGCACGAAATTAAAAGTGTAAACAGCTGATGCAAAAAAAATAAAATTTTTATAAATATAAACATTAAAATGTTCTATTTATTGATTAGTGTAAATTATGGACACTTCAAAATACATTTTTTGTTTTTAATTTAAGTTTTCATTAATTTTCATATTAAATTTACAATTGTCTTCTTCTTTTTTATAAAATATGCATTGTTTTGATAACAAACAGTGACATTTTCTGTTGTTTTGTATGGCAACACTGCGAAGTTTAATCTTGTACTCAAAAACATCAAATGGTATTAACATTGGATTAAATTTATTTTTAGATTAACTAATCTAATTATTAATTGCCATTTGATTGCCAACTCAAACACCCGGTCTAAATAACCTAGTACTTATTATATTATTGTTGGACTCCAGCAGTCGTTATAACATAGTTAACCTATAGAATGAATTCGCAATTTCGATTCATTCGGACATACCTAAAACTCAAAAATAAATAAATACTCACTCGAGCGGATGATTTCCAGTTACTATCACCTTTTAAACCTATAGCCCGTGATGCAAACCAGAATGCACAACCAATTGATTCGTCGAGTACTGTATTGAGTGGATAAATAAGATGTTTTATATGATCACTTAAACACTGATGTATCTCCTTCTTGCTGACATTTACTTCGATAAAGTTCCATTTCCTAATAATTAATATAATTTATTATTACAAAACTACATATAACACATACATATATACATATGTTTATATTTAAAATTTACATACATACCTATCGGGACATATATCTATTAAATTCTTAAACGATGATTTCCCAGAAATTCTATCTGGGACGTCCCAATTACTATCTGTTCTCGTACTTTCGAATGCCACATTAACCAAATCAATTGAATCTGTTTTAGGAATAAATTTGTCACACAACACCGCTAAAATGGAACAATCAATGCCACCAGAAAATAAAATTGCTACCTTTGAATGAGTACATGAGTTTATCTTTCCTAAACATGAGGCACAACATGGTGTGGTATATTGTACTCGTTTTTTTACGGATTCCTCTATAAGTACCGAGAACTGATGTATTGCATTAAACACATCATTATTTTTTAAATAAAAGTCATACAGTTCCGACGTTGTTGAAAATGTTGTACTGCTCGCCAGATCATATAAGTTAAAATTATACTGAACAGAACAAACAGAAGTTTATTAAAATTCTGGGATAGTACAAAACACTACCAATTACCTTATTATCCTTTAATTCATTAGATGACCACGGACATTCAATATGATTTCTAATTTTGATTTCTATATCACAGGATTTTTCTAATCTTTCTATTTGAGCGTGCCAGTCCTCATCTGGAATTCGCCAAGGAAACAGATAGCAGTTTTTAAGATCTTCAATATTTATTTTGTAAATTCCCAGCGGTGGAAGTTCCATGGTGTTATTTTCCATGTTAGTGTTAGCTGCAAGTATAAAAATATACATAACTATACAGCAAGTATATAAACAAATTTTATCGCGTAAATAAAATATGAATTGTGAAAGACGTTAATAATCGATTCTAAAAAATAAAAAGTAATCATCTTCGACCATCTACGAGACAAGAATAACGAAAACAGAGAAAAAACACCTCAAGAACTTTTATTCAGTTTCTAACCTAGAGATATTCTACATAATAAATCTTGCATTACACAGTAGCGAATTAACAGATGACCAAACCATTTTACATTTTTGCATATGCACAGTGGTATAGGAAAAAAAAAAGAGGGAAATAATTCGGTAACTTCTAAACGGTTAATCCGATGAATTTTGAATTTTTAATTTAATGAAATTTGGTGTGCACAAAGAGGAGGTGTTGTCGAGTTTAGGTTTTGAATTTGGACCTTATAGGCCAACCAGGGGCCCGGCGGGGGGTCCTCAAATTAGGACACCTCGGCTATGTTAAATTTTTAAAACGATCCTATTTCTTCATTTGAGTTCCGATTTAAAAAAAAATTCGTATATAGAATCTCCTCATCGAGCACTATAAAAAATGTCGTCGTAGCAGTAAATTATCTCTTATAGTTTAGGAGATATTCGCATTTGAATATTAAAATTTTAAAATTTTTACCGTCCTTACTTTAGTTTTTTTGATAATAGCAGGTCCAAATATTTCCGATTTTCGCCATTTTTTTTTATTTGCTTAGGGAAAACTCAACATCTTTTAGAAAATTTACCTAGCACTATTATTTTCATCCATATATGTAACAAATTTAAGAGTTAACCTTATGGATGAAAATAATAGTGCTAGGCAAATTTTCTAAAAGATGTTGAGTTTTCCCTAATTAATTTGTCACTTAAAAAACATTAGGTAGGCATGTTATATATCAATGGAAAGGTAATTTTGTCTATTTTTCAAAACTGTATATAATTTTTGAAAATTAAAAAATTCGCGGAATACTTTTTTTAAAAAAAATTAAAAAATGTTTTTTATTCAGTTTTTGCGAAGATACAAATTTTTCAAATTGCAATAAAAATTTTATTTATGAATATTTTTTGATGAAATTTTACAGTTAGGTAGATTTTTTTACTCAAAATCCAAAATTAAATAAAAATTTCGAATTTTCTTATTAGAAATCCCGGAATTCCCAAAAAAGTTTTAAAAAATCCCAAAAATGGGATTTTTTGGTTTTTTGCCTATTATATCCATACCAGGGGCGGGGTTATCGAAACCCGTTACAAAATGATTAAGAACTTATTGGGTCATATAAAACAGGTCACTATAATTTGATATCGACTATGCGATTTGAGAATTTTTGCTCAAAATTTAATTTTCCATAAAAAATAGGGTTTTTTTGGATGGACCTGGTCCCCTCGGTATCAAAAATTTTTAGGTTTTGTTTCATTTATCGTATTTTATGTAAAGTCAGCTTTCCAAAAAGTATAAATTCTATATACATCTTCTTAGAAACTTTTTAGATAACTTAAAAAGAAAAAGATACTTTTTTCCCAAAAAAATGACAAAAAATCGCCTTTTTTTAATTTTTTAAATTTAAATGCCTATAACTTTGGACTCAGTCATGATTTTTACATAATTCTTTCACTGCTTGGTATATAAACTTGTTGTTAAGCAAATAAAAAAAATGGCGAAAATCGGAAATATTTGGACCTGCTATTATCAAAAAAACTAAAGTAAGGACGGTAAAAATTTTAAAATTTTAATATTCAAATGCGAATATCTCCTAAACTATAAGAGATAATTTACTGCTACGACGACATTTTTTATAGTGCTCGATGAGGAGATTCTATATACGAAATTTTTTTTAAATCGGAACTCAAATGAAGAAATAGGATCGTTTTAAAAATTTAACATAGCCGAGGTGTCCTAATTTGAGGACCCCCCGCCGGGCCCCTGGTTGGCCTATAAGGTCCAAATTCAAAACCTAAACTCGACAACACCTCCTCTTTGTGCATACCAAATTTCATTAAAATCGGATTAACCGTTTAGAAGTTACCGAATTATTTCCCTCTTTTTTTTTTCCTATACCACTGTGATATGGTTTTCCTATGGCTTTCCTAAATCGCGATAGAAGTCTTAGAGGCTCTCGCTTTAGATTCTATGATAATTTAGAATCTATAACGATACCTTTTATTTTACAAAATTCATATTTTCATTGAATTATCTTAAATAATTCCCTAATAGATGAATATTTATATATTTAAATTTTGTATGAAATATTAAAGAAAAAACAACAAATTTTCTGTCATGTGTAATATCAAACTATTTATGAACTTTTAATATTCTGAATGAAAAAAGTTTTGGAAAAAGTCGTTATTATTTTTTTCTGTGTAGATAAACTCAGATGATATTTTTATACGATCTTTAATATACATATATAACTTACAAGATGTGCTGAGTAAACGAAAATGTTCACAATTTTTTTCAATAAGAAGAGAATTTCGTCCAAGGGAATCTCGTGCAAAGTAAATCGTTTTATTAGCTTTATCATAAAATATAATACTGTATGGCCCTTCAATGGTTTTAAAATAACTAATAAGTTCATATTCATCTTTTGCATTCGACAGTTTTCCAAAAATCCATTGTGAATCTGACATATTTCGTAATTCACAATTATTTATATTAAATATATCCCCGTTAAAAAGAAGGAGATGAGAATCGGATTCTAAAGGTTGTACGCAAATTTCAGTCCCTTGATGCCACAAAACAAATCCTCCAAATAATGCATTACCACATTCTTTAAATTGTGTAGCATTTGGACCTCGGTTTTCAAGTCTTTGCATTAGATTCTGAAAATAAAATCATACATTATTTTAATGAAATTCACTTAGCATTTATAAATACGAATCGATTAAATTTCTTCCAGAGTAAGAGAAATTAATTCGAATGAAAAAATTTTAGTTTATCGTTAATATATCGCACAGCCAGTACAAAAGTGACTCAACTAAAAAAAATTTTTTTCAGAAAAAGGAAAAAATTTTTACAAATTCTGATACATAAAGACATAACGTTTTTTCTTCAACAGTTAACAACAACAAAATACACTGATATTTGTTAAAAAAAAACTAAATGTTTTTGGTGTCGTTAATTACTTTTCTCGATTTTTATTGAGCTCTCTCAGAGATCGCTTTATACGAGTTGTTATAGATGGAATCTCATCAAACGAGTTACAGGCTCCGCTCTTTCTCCTACTCCATTCCTTATATTACATTTTATGCAAAGAGGAATGTGAAAAAGAAACACTAAATCCCGAATGTTGTTTGTTTTCCAGAAAGCTTACATACTTAACCCTTTCAGAGTCAAAAATAATTTATGTCTAGAAAAAAACTTGAAAACTTATATTTAAGATAATTTGAGTACGCTGAATCCGGGAAAAATAATATTTTTTGAATTTGAGTTTTCCCTAGTGAGTTATAGAAGGTCAAATTTAAATGTCGAATATATTCGACATTCGAAAAACAGTCCCCAAAAAGTACCACCAATATTTTTTATGATTTTTTTTTTGTAAAATGTCTTCTTAAACTTCTTTCAATACAATACAATTTAAATCTGCATAGTCCGATCTCCTAAAATACAATTTTTTTGGCCATTAAATGAAGCTGTTTTTTAAACGTTGTTAAAAAATACTTTTTAAAAAGTAGTCATAAGTGACAATTTCTTAAAATCTGATTTTTAAATACTTTTAAAATACGGAAGATCTTTCAAAATCTCAATTATAAATATAATAAAGTCTTCATTTTCATCTAAAAGAAAAAAATTAAAACTAAAGTTAAATATAATACCCAAAAAATGCTTAAAAACAGACAAAACCACGACAAAACCACGGAAAGGGTTAATAACATGTTTATTATTATAGAAATTTTAAAAAGTCCCTTTTGAAGAACGAAAAAGTACCAAAATGTCCCCATTTATAGGTTCTCATATAATCCGGGCTCAACATGCTTAATTTCATGTGTCTATGTTCAATATTTTAAAAAATTCAAAAAGCACCTTTTGAAGAAAGAAAAAGTACCAAAAAGTCCATTTTATAGGTTATCTTTGTTCCGCATGCTTAAGTTCGTGTTTCTAGGTTTAATAATTTAGAATATTAGGTTAGGTTAGGTTGATAGGAGGATGTATACTACATCAAATCCGAAGAAATACACCTAGGCCACTATCGGGCCTGTTGTGCGCTCCAATTCAAGAAAAAAAAAAATTGTTCACTGAATGTATTATTTTTCCATGTTCAGAAACTCAGTTTCCTGGACGTAATTCCTAAGAATCTTCCAATCGGTGTTGGTTAAGAATGTTATTTCCGGAATAATATCACTTCCAAGATACTTGGATCTAACTTCGACGAATGCCTGACAATGGCAAAGAAAGTGCTCCAGAGTTTCACTGTCCTCTCCACATGCTCTACATTCGTCTGAATTCGCACGTCCAATTTTGTATAGATGTGCTCGTAATCCTGTGTGTCCACTGAGAATACGTACCATCATACTAACCTCAGACTTGCTCATTTTGAGAAGATTTCTCGTCTTGCTCTCATCATGTAAGCGCCGCCTCATATCTTATATATGTTTCAATGGGTGGAATATCTAGCAACGTTTCCAGAGCCTTGGTTGAAGTAGTACACATGGCACCACTTATACCCAAGCAGCATGTACGCTGAACTCCCTGTAGTAGTTTGATATTACACTTTTTGTCCAAAGCAGTCCACCAGATTATTGAAGCATAAGCTAGAATTGGTCTAATTACACTTTTATAAAGCCAATTTGTCATAGTAGGACTAAGACCCCATTTCATGCCTATGGTTCTCCTACATATCGCCCAGCACCGATGTGCCTTGTTGATCCTATCCTCTATGTGGTGTCTCCATTTTAATTTCCGGTCAAGTATTACACCTAAGTACTTAACTTTGTCTGTCACCGGTATTTTCTTGCCCAAGAAGCAAGGTTCAGTATATGTAGAAATTTTTGTCTTTCTTGTGAAAAGACAGATTTCCGTCTTCGCCGGGTTAACATTGAGGCCTCTCGGTTGAGCCCAGCTCAAGGCCGTATTCAGAGCCTCCTCAGCTCTTCTACACAAGTAATTTGGATCCTTTCCCTTTAAAAGTATTACGACATCGTCTGCATAGCAGACAGGTCTAAGTCCTTTCTCGGTTAGGGTCCTTAGGAGGCTATTAATCGTGGTGACCCAGAGTAAAGGTGACAAAATGCCACCCTGTGGTATACCACGAAATACCTTTTTCCTGATAGTTATATCGTACATCTCGCAGCTTATCCATCTGTTCCTTAGCATGCAGCAGTTACGGAGCACCCGGTCAACATAAAACTGGTCTAGGGATTGGATAAGGGTATCAGTGTGCACGTTATTGAAAGCGCCTTCGATGTCAATGCATACTGCCAGTGTATACAGTTTGCTATCGAAAGATTCACCTATGTAGTGGACAACTTCATTTAAAGCGGTTTCCACCGATCGTCCCATTACATAAGCATGCTGCTTATATTTAAGGTCATTGTATGGTATGCTGCTTTTAACCATGCTATCGACTATCCGTTCCAAGGTTTTAAGTAGGAAGGACGTAAGACTTATCGGTCGATAGGACTTAGGTGTCGCATAGCTAGGTTTCCCTGGTTTGGGTATAAATATTACCCTTGCATCCTGCCATTTAACTGGGGTATATGCCAATTTTAAGCATGCGACAGATGTACGGAAACCAGTCCCGCCTCCATCTGCAAAAGTGCCGGGAAAATTCCATCCGGCCCTGCAGCTTTATAGGGAGCAAAGCTCTTGATTGCCCCTTTAACCATGTCAGTTGTAATAACTATTTCCGTGTTACCCTCCCCTTCCTCCAATATCGGTTCATCTATGTTATTCGATATACCGGGTGGGAAATGAGAATCCATTAGGAGTTTCATTGTCTCCTCCATATCCTCAAGCCTCCTGCCCGTGTCATCGATCATAGATTCCGGTTGGACATGAGTTTTGGATATGAATTTTTTTATCTTCGATACGTCATTTACGCTATCTACCTGTTCACAGAAAAGTTTCCAGGAGTCTCGTTTGGCTTTTCGAACGATTTTCTTATATTCACCAAGTTTATTACGATACTCATCCCAGTATACTGCGGTCTTTTTACGCCGTGCCCGGTTAAATAGTTTGCGAAGAGTCTTCCCTAGGTTCCGGATCTCCCCAGTTACCCAGGGTTTTTCCTGGGCAGATCTCCGCTCTCGCAGAGGGCAGCTGTCCTCGAACGATTCAACCAGGGCACTTGTGAACGTTTCCTCTTTGGCATCTATATCCTCTTTATTTCGACATTAAAAAGTGTCCTGACCTAAACGGTTCTTTAGTAAGGTCCCGAACATTGTCCAATTAGTTTTAGACTTATTCCGAAACTTTATCGGCTTTGGTGGTGGCCTTAGTATTTTGAATCTTATGTACCGATGATCAGAAAAGGAGTGCTCGTCCGAAACTCTCCAATCCTGAATTTCGTTTATAAGCTCTTCTGAACATATAGTTATATCTAATACTTCTTCTCTGATTCTATTGACGAAGGTAGCTTTATTACCTAAGTTCAATGTTATCAAGTCTTTAGTATTAAAGAAATCCATGAGGGCTTGTCCCCTGCGATTGGTGTTTGTACTACCCCAAGCTACATGATGCGAGTTGGCATCACAACCTATTACAATTTTCTTATTTTTCCTTTGTGCCTCTTCAACCAGTTTCATCAGATCCGACGTTGGTGGTAGTGTCGGAGAATCGAAAGGCAGGTAAATAGATGCAAGGAATATGTTGCCACGACCTTGCTTCAGCACCATTGCATCCGATGTTGATAATCCTGTTGAGAGGAGAAAACATAAGTTCTTGTGACATAAGATACATGTTCTCGGGCGAGATCCTGTATCAGCGTAGAAAAGTTGGAAATTTACGTGATTTAATCCAGAAACCTTGTTGCGAATCGTCCAAGGTTCCTGGATTAAAGCTATATGTATTTTACCTGTGTTGATTTTAGCCATCAGAGCGTTGGTAGCTGTCTCGCTCCGATGGAGGTTTATTTGGATAACCTCAATCATGGTCATCCATTAAACTGTCTTCCAGCGAGTTGGTGGTCACCTCCTCGCTCTTTGGATTTGACTCCTCCGGATAGCCTGAAGTGGCTATTAATGCAGTGAGTACTGTTGATGGCACTGCGGTGTCCTTATCAGGCATAGGAATAGCAGTATTTTTAATAGACACATTCCCAATTCTGGAGAGCATTGCTGTTCTGTCTTCTGGCGGGTGAGTGATTTCCTCCTCGCATTTAGGATTTGACTCCTCAACATTGCTAGTACTTGCTAATGATGCTCTGGGTACTGTCTTAGGTGTTTTAGTGTCCTTGTCGGGGCCGGTTTTGACAGCCCTTTCAATCGGCGCCTTCCCAATTTTGGAAAGGGCAACTACACTTTCTTCTGGCGAGTTAATGGTAAATTCCTCGATTTTAGGATTTGACTCCTCAACGTTATCAGTAGTGGATACTGATGCTGTGGTCTTAGGTTTTTTAGTGTCCTTTTCGAGGCTTGTTGTAACAGCCCTTCCAATCGGCACCTTCCCAATTTTGAATATGACAGATTTAGAGGCGAAGTAAGCCCTACCTTTATTCTTGGCAAGACTAGCCATGGATTTCTGGTCGATACCTATTACAAATAAAGTTCCCTCAGGTTCTTCTTTCCTGTAAAAGACATCCCATTTTTCCACGGCCAGCTCAGCATTTTGACCTCCAAGAATTTCCAGTATACGTTCATTAGCCAGTTTACTGCCCCATCCTTTT